AATTGATCTATTTTATATGTTATTTTTAATAAAATAAGAATAAAGTTATTAATAAAATAGAGTTTTAAGCTATAAAATTTATATGTAGTAAATATTTATAAAAAAATTAATAAATTTAGTTTATTTCGAAATAATTTAAAACAATTCGAAATATTTCAAAATATTCTAGTAAATTTCGTTATAAAAAATTTCAGTTTATTACATTTTTTTATTTAGAATATTTCAATATATTTTGAATTGGTAAACTCAAAATATTTCGAATTGTTTCGAATTATTTCAAAATATTTCAAATTGTTTTGAAATATATTGCGTAATATTTTGCAATATTTTTGTATAATATTCCGTAATTGATTATTGCGCAATATTGCGCGTCAATCGTAATTCTTGCACAATATTATAGCCTGTAATATCTTATGTAAGATTACGGTTATATATTTTGCTGATGTATTAAACTGCACAATTCTAGTATCCGGTGCCTTTGCAAGGTTTGTTCTGATCCTGATATCCATATCAAGCTAGTCCTTATACCAATCCCTCCCCGGGTGGTACTCATTTTACTGACAATCACTTCACCAACAACTTAGTTCACTGACAATTAATTCACCAACAAGTTCATTTCACCGACAATTAATTCGCCGACAGCTCATTTCACAGACAAAGTAATTCTGGTCATTGTCGTTAAGGTCAGGCTAAATTAGAGTTAAGGTTAGTGTAATTTATAAAAAAAACTTGTCGGTGAATTAATTGTCGGTGAACTAAGTTGTGGTGAAGTGATTGTTGGTGAAATGATACGTACCCTCCCTCCCCAACTACCAAACCAGTTAGCCCAGATGGGTCGTTGTACCTAGGTTTTAAGTGCCTTCCAGTTTTACTTCTCTTGGTTCCTAATTTCGTAGCATAGAACCTTTTCCTCCAGTGTAACTCTGGTGGCCAGGTTGGTGAACCTTTCTTGCTTCAGGGTTTTCGTCTAGTTCTTCAGTCACCGGTTCCAACTTTTTGCAGTATTGTCGAAGATCTTCACTACCTCCTTACTCAGGTCTTGCCAAACGGGTTTCAATTATTCTGGTTCTTTGGATTTGGATTGTCCAAGAGCTTCCATTTCGAGATGATAGTACCAAAATTACAGGTAATATACTCAACTGATCATCAAATAATTGTTACCGAAACACAGGCCTATTTTTCTAAAAACGTCTCTGGTGTGTAGCCTAAACTTAAAGCTATAAATTGGCTAAAAAATTTTTTTAAAAAATTTTGTTTTTAAATTATATCAATTTTTATAAAATATAAATAAAAAGATACTAGTTTATAATGTCCTGCACTGTATGAAAGTTTTTTTAAATTTTTTAAAAAATTTTTTTTATATAACTTTTGACCTAATCTTTTATTTAGTAAAAAGTTTGAAAAAACAAAATCAGCAAAATTAGCAAAATACAAAATATGTAAAATTATGTATTGAACAAATTTGCTTAAGAGATCAAAACAGGTTATTTAAGTAAAAAAAATTTTTATATAGAAAAACTGAAAATTTTGATATTAATACATAGAAATTTTTTTATTAAGATAACCTTTTATACTCTCTAATTGAAAATTATTCAAAGTATAATTTTATATATAATTATTAGTTTAAATCTGTTAAAATTTTCTTTTAACAGAGTTATATTTTCAAATTGTATCAAAATTACAAAATCTTTACAAGCATTTTATTCTCCTTTTTTTGATATATTTATTTATAAAATTTAATTTAAAATTAATATGTAAGAGAAGAAACATCACAACTTCAAAGTTTATAAGTAATTCTATATATTTTTGTTATAATTTTATATATAAAAAATTTATATCTAAAATTCTGTAAAAAATCAGATAACTGAAGTTTTTAAATATTAGTATACAATAGTTAATTTTTTAAAAAATTTAATTACTATACTAGTAATTTTTTGAGAACTATTAAGTTAAATTAGTTAAATATTATCAGTCACAAGACATGTCCTTATACAGGGGTTTCTATTGCTATTACTTATAAATCAAATCTAAATTTTATATGTAAATTTTTACAAAAAAATCATTAAAATTTAATTTATTTAAAAAAATACATATAAATCTTTCTTGAAACTTTAAATATATATTCTTTGTCATTTTATAATCTTTTGTTAAAAGCCTTGTTTCTTAACTTCTTGACCAAAATTAGAGAATCGATAACCAATTGTAACCCAGGCGCACCTCGAGAGTAGAAAATAAGCAGTATATTGCGTGTTAGTGAAGAATTAGAGAAAATTAAAAGGGATAATAAGGACCCAAGTAGTAAAACCAAATACTTAACTGCTGACAACTTCTGGCTCCTTGATTGCCGCAGTAGGCATTGAATACCCTAATCCTCGGACCAAATTAAGCTACCCCTTACCAATTAGGGTGTATATTAGTTTTCAGAGTTGCATAACAATATTTCTAGCTTAGTACATCAGTGTATACAAGTTAATATACGTAAAAATAAAAATCCAATCAGATATACGAATTTGTACAGAATAGTTTGTTCTTAGTCACGTATTTTATTTAATCCGTTCCTAGTATGACTGTTTCAATCCCTAATAGTGTTAAGAAACGATAAATTGAACAGAACAAATTGACTAATAAAATTTATCATTTATCATATACGATATATTATAAATGAAAATGAATCTAAGAGTTTAGATCATCTAGGTGCTGTGAAAAGGAACGAAATTAATTATTTTTTAAAATTTTTTTCTGAGCTTAACTAATCTAAAATAAGTCTGTAAACATTTTCACTTAAGGTACAAATGCTGTTATCTTAATAAAATTTTTCAATAATTCTTTTATCATAGAATTTATAATATAAAAAGCAATTTTTTCCGCAAAACTTTTTTTTTGTCAATTTCGTCCCTTTTCTCAGCACCTAAGCCAATATAATAAAAAATGTATCGGAAATTTACAATGAATAATCAATAACTATATACTTTTTGTTGAATGTCATATATCTATATTACGACAAAAGTTGGTTACATTGTGGATACATAGAATAATAGTAAAATCACGTTGCTGACGGCCACGTGTTTTACCATTATTATCCCGTGCAACATGTCATCAAATTAAAACTTTAGTAATTTTTAGATCGGTTTACTTTTAATTTGGTCATTTTTTCTTTTCAAGAGTAAAAAAAACCACAATGCACCTACTGAAGAAGAGATTTTTGAATGGCAAAGAATCTCGTATAGAGAACACTAACGAGTATTTATTAACTTTTAAATAAAAAAAAAACACAATTATCGCAAGGGCCATCGCCGCAACCATAATGTGAGCTATCGCCAGGACCATTCAAAACCATCTACCGAACCATCGCTATGATATTAAATATTTCATTGAGTTATTCAAATAATAAAGAAATTATAATTATTAAATAATGAATTTTTTTATTTATACAAACAAATAATAGTTCTATAAATAATTAATAAAAAATATTTTTATAATTATATATATAAAAAGAAATTAAGTATTTTAAAATGGACTAGTTCTTTAGTAAATACGTAGCAATTTTAAAAGTTCCTAGCACATGACAATTTAAAAGACTTAAACCTAAATAAAATTCTTTTCTGCACACGAAAATTTAGAATATTCAAACTTAAATGAAGTTTTTCTTAGCACACGACAATGTTAAAGACCAAAACCTAAATTCTTTATAGCACACGACAATTTAAAGAGCTCAAATTTAAATAACATATGATGATTTATGACAAGGTTATTCACATCGATCTATATGAATAATGTGATTGTCATACAGATACAACCTTGTCAAAAAAGCACGGGCTGTTACATAGTACCCATGGGTTAACGACAACTATTGTGACCTCTCCAATCAGCCATGCAGCTAGATAAAAAAGAAATAAAATAAATGTCTAGTTGAGAAAAATATATGAGTCATACCAAGGAACAACTAGATTCCGGGCTCTTCAATTTGTAATTTATCGAATTCAATCCTTGGAAAATCTATATACATATTTGAGACCGATAAATTATAAATTTAAAAGCCCAATTCTGGTTTTCCTCCTGCATCACTCATGTGAACTAATGAAAGATTCTACTCAACATCCAACAAAATTGATGTCCACATCTACAACTCATGTGGTTGCATCCACCATTTTTCTCAATTCTACTCTTACACTTTGGACATTGTTTAAATTGAGTTACGTAGGATTCAGATGCACTTTCTGCATTTCGAAGTGCTGCTAATCTTTGCTCTTCCTCTTGTCTCCTACGCTCTTCCTCTTGCCTCCTACGTTCCTCTTCCTCCCGTCTTCTGCGTTCTTCTTCCTCTTCTCGTCGCCTACGCTCTTCCTCTTCTCGTCGCCTACGCTCTTCTTCCTCCCGTCTTCTGCGTTCTTCCTCTTCTTGTCGCCTACGCTCTTCTTCTTCCCGTCTTCTGCGTTCTTCCTCTTCTCGTCGCCTACGTTCCTCTTCTTCTTGTCTTCTGCGCTCTTCCTCTTCTCTTCGTATGCGTTCTTCCTCTTCTTGTCTTCTGCGCTCTTCCTCTTCTCTTCGTATGCGTTCTTCCTCTTCTCGTCGCCTACGTTCCTCTTCTTCTTGTCTTCTGCGCTCTTCCTCTTCTCTTCGTATGCATTCTTCTTCTCTTAGTCTATGTTGTTCTTCTTGTTGTCTACGTTCATCTTCCTGTTCTCTGCATTGTTTGCACTCAATGTCAATTGGAAGTCCGTGTACAACACAAGACTTTTGCCCACACAAATTACAGACCATTATCGGAACGTCTTTAATAAATATATTTAAAGATAAAGCAATAATGTTGATAAGAATATTTAAACAGATGTTATATAACTTACTTTCTTGATAATGGTCCTGTCCTGATCCACATTTCGGATTTAAGCACCATTGAAAGGTAGGAATTTGCGATAATGCAAGATTTAGCAAAAATCTTTCATACCTGAAGTAAAATGCCAAGTTAGGATTTTGTTTTCTAAAGAACAAGAAATAATGATTCATATACTATAAGCATACCGTCTAAATGTCTCCTCACTTGCGAATTCTTTTATATCTTTCTGATTTAATATTTCGTTACATCCATCTTCTGGGCATGTGATTTTAACATTTCCATTATCTTCAAGTTCATGTTTGATATATTCCCCTATACATTCACGACATATATTATAATCATGGCTACATTGGTCAGTAATATTCAAAAAGGATTTGATATCAACATTCTCGGTGCATATTATGCATTCTTTTTTTACATCTGTCTCTTGCAATTGTAGTGTCTCTTGCAATTGTAGCGATTGTAGTGTCTCTTGCAATTGTAGTGTTTCTTGCAATTGTAAACTGAATTCTTCATCCTGTCTGCATTGTTTACATTGTTCACATTCAATTTCAATTTGAAGTCCATGCACGATACAAGATTTCTTTCCACATGTATTACAAACCATTATCGGAATATCATCTTTAGAGAAACATAATTAACAGTAAATATAACAGTATGTAATATTATAGATTTATTTATTGTAATTAGACATTACCTCGATAATGATCTTGTCCTGATCCACAAGTTGGATTTAAGCACCATTTAAAAGTAGGAATTTCAGATAATGCAAAATTTAGCATATACCTGTAAAAAGAACATAGAAAAATTACATTTTTTGATTTACCAATAATTGTAAGACATAAACAATTAACCTTCATATAGGCACTATCACTTTAGTCCAGGGTTGGCACATTTATCCATTGGGCCCAATGGAGTAGACCTCCATTGACATTTCTCCATTGCTCCATTGAGAATAATTTGTCAATGGAGCAATGGAGTCCAATAAAATACTATGCATATTTTAAATTATAATATATGTATTATATATTTTATATTTTAATTTATAAATTGTT